GTTGTCCTAGACGAGATACTGCTACTGAGGTGAGACCGACGACAGAACACGCGCTGATGACGGACGCAGAAGACCTAGCTGCCGGACACGCAGAAGACAAAGCCGATGTACAGGCAGAACTAATGACAGTAAACTATTATCTGTTGTTCTGTCTGCCTTCTCTTTCCAACACGCAACTGGCGGATATAACCAGTGTCGACGCAGGCACATCCAAGGTTATAACAGGGTTACAAGGTAGCATGGAATGGAAAGAAACTAGCAGAAGGTAGGAGGTACATACCAAAGGGCTCTGCGTCAGGCAGTGAGTCTTCCAGGCGAACGAGCGGTTTCCTACGGTGCTGCTGACGCGGCCGACCCTTCTGTCGGCGGCTTCTTTGACGACCCGAAGCAGCAGCAGCATTGTGGGCGTTTTTATCAAACTGTCGAGGTCGCGAGCCGTCAATCGACTCGAGCTCCTCTTCCTCCTCACTATCGAATAAACAGTCGGACCTCTGGTAAGGCAGAGAGCCGAGGATTTCAATCTGCTTCCTTTCTGTCAGACTGATGAAGGCGTCCCAAACAGCACGAACTCTGAAACAAGTTAAAAGTCGCAAAAGATGACAGATAAGCATATGCGGTGCAATTGACAAGTCTTCATCACTATATATAGAGCAGGGAGATTTCACTTGTTTATATTTATAAGCATTTAAAATACTGACTTCAATTTGCTGATTGACGTTCCTTGTTGAAGTGTTATTTATAGATAAATCAGGCTTCCTTATTACGATATGATGGAAGCGGCTGATGAAAGCGAATTTTCGATTGCCAATGTAGTGTTCATAGTTAGCCGTGTGATATTGCACCACCAAGTAGGAAAGCAGTTCAGTACTGGAAATAAAAGCTGGTAAGGATATGTTGTGTAACCTCCGTGAGTTTAATACACATACACATCTATAGTTTTTTTAGCAGGTCTTGCTTTGTGTATTTTTTTATATATATGGGAAGCAGCTAGTTGTCCCTTTGAGCCTCCAAAGCATCTCCAGACGGTTTTGGTCATCGAACTCGCACGCTGTGACTTTATTACGCCTTCAAAAAGACTAGCTGAACTTTTTTGTGCCTTGTCATTACTCCTCACACAATGCGTACTGTTAGGATCGGCGGCTAGCTTATACTGCAGAAGTACCGTTTTTAGTACAAGGAGGAACGTCCCGAATTATGATTCGTTTTTAAGAAGTGGTTAAGGTATATATGGACTACGCGCTATTGTCCGACGAACCATGCTAAACAGCAACGACTATTACTTAGGATAATCATATACAGTTGATTATTGGGATTCAATATCCATTGCTAAGATACTCTATAATCTAATAATTCAATAAGTAAGTCAAATAATATTCATTTATTAATTATTAACTAATTAAATCATGAATTTATTAATTATTAATATCCATTGCCTATTAATTAAACTTTCGTAAAAATTAGTCGCCGAGCGGTTGCTAGCGCTACAATAGACATTTTAAAATACATGCTGCTTCGTAAGCTGAATAGCCTACTTTAACACCATACTTCTTACATATATATGACTATTCCGACCTTTACCTTTTAAATGTTCGTATTAGTTACTACTTTTCATTACCCGTAAAATTAAAATTAGGCAGTCCAACCCACCTCCCCCTCCCCCCACGGATGATGATGATGATGATGATGATGATGATGATGATGATGATGATGATGATGCTGAGGATGATGATGGTGAGGATGATGATGATGATGGTGGTGTTGATTATATTTATGATAGTTCCCATCGATCACACCGGGTTTATTGTCATGTATGCAAATTTAACGTTAATCCCAGTCTATTGTCATGTCTGCGCATGTCTCAGACTTTTCTACGATTACCTATGATTAAGGATTCTCGGCGGAATCCGAAACGTCAGGACAATAAAACTCTTGTTCCAGTAGTGGTCGCTTCTTCTTCTTCTGAACTGCTTCCTGGAACTCGCATATTCAATTCCATTGGCAGTCTATTGTCACTTCTGTGTCATCGCACTCGATTGACAAACCACGGTGAACATACGGGCAATAACCACGCACCCTAAAAACATTAATGTGAGAGGTGAGACAGCCGGAGCCCGGTGTCAAAAAACTCGGAGGGGGAATCGGGCAGAGGCAGCCGGTAAATGCGCCTACTGTATGGCTTCTCAGCCACGATAGTCTCAGACACGCATCACACCTGTAGCAAAAGAGCTGCAGTCGGAGCTCAGGAGCAGCCTTACTTGCCGAACTCGCATACCTACGTAGATGTAACAAATAGAGTGACCTGAGTTGTCAAGTGGACTCGCAACGCTGGTTTAATTCAGCATTAAGACTGAAGCTTGATCCTCCGTGATATTCACGCTTTCTCTATCTGTCACTTACTTACTTGTACTTGTTACGGCTGTGATCATGCCTGATCTG